GAATTATCACGGTGTTTGATCGCACGCAAGATCAGCAATATCTTTTTATGTATTCCACAATTTTTTTTCTTTTGCTCATTTTTAATAGAGCAAAATATCACTGCAGAGATATTTACCAGAAAATTTTTGTCTACCTTTAGACTGTTGTGCGCCTCAATAGTGGTAATACATTGTGCTATATTTCCTTTATCAGTTTTTTTGGGCTTATTGTTGTTTCTACCTGTCCTTTGCTAGACGTAAGATGCCTCTGCATTTCACTTGCTCAAACTCCTTCCATGACTGGATTACCTCCTTAGATAAGGCAACGTGCTCATTCTTTGGACTAGTCTAAATTCCCGTGGCCGGTGATATGCGTTTCCGCGAAAGGCTAACAGTTGGTAGAATAAAGGGCCAGATCGCATATGCAATCCACGAATTTTGCGCGCTCACCTCTCAGGAATAACATGTACTCCCGCGTTCCTATCATATTCAAAGCTCTTTCTCTTTATTACGAAAATTCTTCGAAAAGTTTCTACCCACTCTTGTGGATGTGGAGTCTAAAAAGAGAATTATGAGTGTATGACAAAATTAGTATGGCGTGTACTGATCGGACTAACGTTCGAATGACTTGCCATCAGCACCGTCTTGCATGTGTTTTGATTGCTAGTCTATTTTTTATGAAAAGGCAAGTGTCGCGATATTGTGCGGGGTAATTTTTTTCAAACGAAAAACTCAATGAGTCATCCGTCATATCATCTAGCCTTTTTCTTGAGAAACCTATTGTCTTTTTTATCAGATTCAAAGCAATGTTTAGGCCGATTGGCGCGATATCGAAATTTGGAAGGCTATTCGGGAGCAAGAAAAGGCTGAGCAAGGTGAAAAGAAGAGCGACTACAAGCCAGAAGAATTCTACGTTTCAAAGCGTTATCGATAGCTCTGAGTATTGGATTCTGGGCAAGTTTGCGAGGCTATATCCCAGGATTCTTCCCATCATTGCGACTGTTACTTTGTTTAGATTTGTGCTCGCCGCTGCTAAACACAACCCGGAGTGGTGCGAGCGATCGCATCTGCTGGCCTTCCATCATTCCCTTCAGGCTGCACACGTGTCTCAGCTGCTTTATGTAGCCGGGTCATAGTGCGACAGCCGCTGCGAGAACTACTTAACTTGTACACATGTTGTGGTCATTCTTTAGTACACATTGTTGTGGTCATTCGTTAGTTGCAATATTAGGTGTGTCTCTGGCATGCATGTACATATTATTGGGACCTGTTGTTGAAGCTGAGAAATAAAAATGTTGTGTCACATTG